GAAACTACGGTTCAGAAACTGGTTTTGTCGTGCTCAGAAACTGGTTTGGTCGGGTTCAGCAACTCTTTTTTCCGGGTTCAGAAACTTTGTTCGTCGGTTTCAGAAACTATTTCTGCGGGTTCAGACCCTATGGAATGCGCGTGTGGTTCTTGTCTGCTCTGGTGGCCCTTCTTGGCATACCTTGTTAACATTTATGGAGGAGAAGGGTGCTGTAGCGCGCACTTTGTTTATGCAGTACTCGAGATTTGGGAGTCCATCTTGAGCGCACCCTTGGTTGCGGTTGGCCGCCTTCCGCATGCGTGCATCCGGCAGTTTAGTGTGTGCGGCGGCTGTTCATGACCGCCCACATCTTGGTTTGGGCTAAGGATTTTCTCAACTTTGTTTTGCAATTGCACGCCAAGAACGCTTTCATGTCCATAGCTCGCTTTCGTGCCGTGTTCGAGGGTTTCCACCAATCAAGTCTTGATCATCGATCGTCAACTGAGTGTCAAGAGTGAATCAATGTCATTTTATCGAATCACTGCTGTGAGAGCATGTGAATCTTGCAATTCATGTTATAGAGAATTTAGGTGTTGACAAGTGCGGTCAGAGCGGCGGTCTTTGTGGGATTGCCCTACCCATTCTCTGCCACATCGACATGGGGTGTGACTGTCCGCACTGGAAAAGATTGGCCTGGACAAGTTGACATGCCAACCACCTCGTTTCCTTGGAAAGCCGATGAGGCTGACTGAATCTTGACTAAGAAGAAGAAGAAGAAGAAGAAGAAGAAGGATCCTTGAAAAGCAGTCTGGCGGGTAAGTTTGTAAGATTCGGTCTCATCATTTTCTACGGGGACTGGCACCTTCTTCGGTTGCCTGTTCTTCCCTACTTTAGCAGCTCAGATACCCACACCTTCCTCGCTGGGCTGTCATCCGATGGGTTTTGATCTTCAAGGACGGTCGACAAACCGTTGGGATTGAAGACCTCCACCTCCGTCCATGTTGCTTGGGTACCCTCCCGATCCGTGGATTGTCATGGTGATGTGTTGAACTGGAGTTTGCAGCAAAGCAACGTCTAAAGAAAAGACGCGCGCTGGCGTTCTGCGAAGCTTGACTGACTCCGTCGTTGCTCCGATCCAGACACGCCCAGGGAAGAGGAATGCTGAATTTGCTAAGGATGGTCCAAGCGTTCTTGTGGCCAATCCCTGCCATCAGGGGTTGCTGCACGCTTCGGCATTGATTTCACTTATAGCTTCCCTGTTTTTTGACACTTTGTGTGAGAGGCATGCTTGAGCGAAAACCGCGCATCAAACATTAAGTGACCGTGGGAGTCGCAACGCGGGAATTTTTGCGCAGTTTGGACTGAGGCGAAGGACCGGTCAATGTTGGTGGCGCAGCACTGCCGGCACCAGTTGGCTTTGGATGTCGTTTTTCTTGCGCGCATTGGTTCCAGTTGCCTAGGCCGCGAAGGGCCGGTTGGAGAGGGAACTAGCTAGTAAGTCGCCGGCTAGTTGAGGAAAAAATTGTTGAAGTAGCAGAAAACGGGTTGTAGCACAGGCAGAAAGCCTTTCACAAGGTCAAAGGAACAGTTCCCAAGCAGTTGCCGAAGTTGGGTTTTTAGACGTTTCAGATCTTTTCGTATTATTTATATATATATATACGTAATATATATATATATATTTTTTTTTTTTTTTTTTTTCCTTTTTTCAACTGAGGGTCGTGACGGCTTCAGCAATTCATGTGGTGGTTCGTTGTTGTTGTTGTTGTTGCTGCCTGCTCTTAGCTCAGCGGTGCAACAAGGCATTTGTGAGTGGTGTCAAATAAGTTTAGGCAAAGTCTTTTTACACAATATTTCCAAAACAGTACCCTCGAATTGTAAACAGTGGCTGTACTTGTTCTACCCGCCAATTGTAGCTCCGACTTGCAGATCTCCCAAACACGTACCTGGGAATGTCTGAAACAACACCGACCGCATGCGGTTTGTTGCACATTTGCCAGGTGTGACGTCTCCAAGGAATCCCGTTTGGCGGAGATCTACCGTGCTTGGCGGACGCCCTTGGTATCTGGGCGAAGTCGTGGGTGTTTCCTTCGTCTGTGGGCTGCAGACTGCTTGCGGGTGAATGCATGCAGGTTGCCATCGATTTTGGTGAGATGTTCTAGTTCGGGAATGCTAATTATGCGCTAACTACAGATTTAGTTTTCAGTTAGTGTTGGGTGAAGCCTATGGAGTAGATAGTACTGTCAAGGTCCTTGCACAGATCGATTGTGAGGTGATGCTTTTTCCAGATACTCGAATCCTGCTTCCTGGCTTGCAGGCGCATCCGAACATCCCAGATTCTTTTCTAAGTTTCACCAGCTCGTGGGCTGAACTCGGAACTGCATACGTGATTGGGCAAGCAATGGCAAGCATGTCTTTGTCTGCCAAAGTAGATGGCTCAAATGGAAAGCTAAGAACATATGAACAGTTCATGGAGGATTCTTTTCGAGTCAGCCTTCCGTCTGTCAGCCGGCCACTTGGGTACATCGGTTGTTTTGTTGAGTCGAAGGAGTCGAAGGGGGGGGCACGAACCAGCGACTGCGTGGGGAGAGACATTTGATACAGATGGCTTTAACAGGTATCTGCTTACAAGGCTTTAACAGGTATCTGGATAAAGAAGGCTTGATAGGTATATTTGCTTACAAGGCTTTTGAGTATTTCCTCCTTGTTTAACAGGTCTCCCGACCTAACAGGAGCGAAGACAGGAATTCAGCTCTCCGGAGCTCCATGCAGACCTCAAAGGGTTTGGGGCCGAAACGAAGGCTTCGGCAGAGCAGATAGGCCATCTTCAATGGGCAACTCCAGCATGCGAGTCTAGTCTCGTTCACCTCCGGGCTGGGAAGCCAAGCGAAGCCAAGCGCAAAACGAACCGTGTGCCGGACGCAAATGGAGAAGGGTCATGTGGGGGTGGGTCAATGAGTCAATACATGTCAATACCCAACAAAGAGCGATGGTAGCTTGTCAAGGACTGCTGTTCTCTTTTTTGTGCATTTTCAGTGGTCAAGGACGTCCACGAGCCACTGATAACAATAAGCCACTTTGAAGAACTGATTGCAGCGTTCATTTCTGGGGTTTTGTTGGACTGCGAGCACAGACGTCGTTTTTTTCGGCTTGTGCAAATGGACAAAAACAACGGTTTTGTTGGACAGCATCATCTTCGAGCCAGTCAGTCCGCCTCTTTGAATGCACTCCACATTCATACCAACATGATGTTGTTCCGCTGTCTTTTGGTAGTGTCAATGTTGCCATGTTGTGAGTTCTCTTGATGTCCCTGGGTGGAAGAGTGTGTTGCATGGTTGAAACTCAATGCATTGGGCCTGTGGTCGACCATCCTGAATTCGACAGAAACATGCATATATTGAAGAGTAGCGGGAAACGGGCTATTTTTGGTCTCGGAACCTCACTCTTATTCCCCACCCCAAGGCCTTGCGAAAAAACAATCCCCCCCAGTGCCACTAAGCCCGGGTAAAGTTCTACTGCATGTATGTCTAAAGATACTAGTAGGTATAAGAAGATACAGACACTGTAATGCAAACACCTTTTGAAACTGCTTGGGATACCAGACGAATCCATGTGGCACAAGACGTACCATGCCCGTACTATGCCTTGGAACCAAGGCCGTGGCCCTTGATGGTGACCTCCCGGAGCGAGCTGCAAGAGGTACCACCATCTAGAGCTGAGAAGCGACTGCTACCTTTGTGCAGATGGTGGCACAAACGGACATTCCGCGTGACGTTCACTCTTTTTCAGCACAGCGTGACGTTCCTTGGATCCAGGTGGTTCAAGAGAATGGCCGCTCAGGGACTTTCGTGGCACGCCCAGTGAGGAGTTCTTTTTATTCTTTTTCCCTTTGGGGGCGCCCAGGGTGTTCAGCTGCCAATACGGCCACACCGGCCACGTTTTCTGTGGATTCGGCCGCATCTCTGTGCTTTCTTCGCTCGAACAGGGCATATGTATTATATATGTATAGATAAATGGAGGGAGGTGAGAATCACTGCGAAGGAGTTTGCAAACTTGATTGACACTTGGTTCAGGAATCACTGCTTCAATCCATTTGATGAACTAATTATCTCCAAAAAATCACTGGCGGTTTGCTGGAGCACTCAGCCACGTCCGACCATTTCAAAGCATTGGATGCTGAAGCGCTGCGCCGATCCGTCGACCGCATTCGACTGCTGAGGTGGGCTTTTTTTCGCTCGCCGCAGGAAGCCGGCCCTCTGCAGGCGAGCGACACTCCTTGGGCCTTGTACGTACTTCGGGGTCTGGAGGATTTGATGGAGCAAGATTCTAGGGACCCCTTGCACACAGTGTATCTATTGCAATGTAGCACTCCGCGGGTGAAATCATTCCGATATCTTTAGACTATGCCAGTCTCGATTCTTTTTGTAGCCTTTAAGGAGAGAATGCGATCCCTTCAGACTATCAAGGTGTCTCTCGTCAGTATTAGAGTGCATCCAAACTGAGATGGAACATCCCAACTTTCCCGAAATCACTGACATCCCAACATACCAAACTCCACCTTAACATCCCAACCTCCTCCCACACATCCTCCATTCAGAATCGAACGACTTTGTTTGGCGTCTCCAGGAGCCTCGTGACTCGTCTCCAGGAGCTTTGGCCTTTAGACTGCCTTCGACGACACCACCGCACCTTCGCCTTCGCAAGGCGATGAGTCACCTCAACACGTCCCTTCAAGCGAGGAGTCACAAGGAGCGAGGGTCAAAAGAAGGCAGTCACTAATAGGCCAAAACCCGATCCTGTGACCTAAAGGAAGCTTCTGGAGAGTGGACCCTGTCAAGCTTTTGGGTCACTTTGGTTGGACGCTATCCGTGGTGGCAAGTCCAAAACACAGTGATTTTGCTGCAGGAACCTCAAGCACAAATAACCTGATGACCCACAAGCCCACCAAGCAAGCATACAAAGGCATCCATTTAACTAGCTCAGCTATGGCAGAGGCAGACTAGAATTATGATGAACGCGTTTTGGGGAAAGTACTTTTGTTTTCTGGAGGGCCTGATGAGGGCAACTTACGATGCCTTGAGCCGTAGCCAATTTCTGGTGACGAAGCAGAAAAGGCCAAGCTTGCTATGACGATGAGAATTCCAGTGCAGCAGATGAGCGACTCCGCTTGCTTCAGTTGTCTTTATTCCCTGAACCATATTTGTGCACATGACCCACCTGCAATCTCACTCTCAGAATGTAGACTCTTGATTAATAACCCTCCCACATGAAGAGGTGTTTCAATCCAAAGGGGGGTGGGCTTTTGGAAAATCAAAAGTCTAACTCTTTTTCATTTCCATTCAGCAGACCTGTTGTTAGAGCAAAGTACCTGTTGAAGATCGTGAGGTGGGGAAGAGGTCGTCCTTGACGCTGTTCCGGACATGACCATTGGCGAAGTCAAAAAGCTGCTCAAAGGACTACAGGAAGGTCACGAAGGTGATGACAACTTAAGGAGAATGACCATGGTTGAGATGGTCATGGGTGAAGCGAAGCTCATGGATGACACCCAGACGCTCACGCAAGCAGGGCTTTCTCCAGATGTGGCCTTGCACGTCTTGTTCACAGTCATCAGGATTTGTTCATCAGATTTTGTCGGTACAGAGGGATGGTTTTGGGGATGAACGTCTCCAGTTGCCCATCAGAGCTAGTTTATCAGGATTTACTTTGTTTCAATGCCTGCCAGTTGCCAATCGGCTTTTTAGGTCTGTCAAAGGACAAATGGACAGCAACCACAACAAGGTGAGAGACTGAAAGAACCTCCAGAGGAAGAGTCAATAGCTCAGAGTAAGTAGTCTCCTCCACTTTGGACCCTCCAATGGATGTTCGCAGCCGGTTTGCACCACCTATTGACGTACCACATTTCTGTCCACATACTACTTTTCAGGGGAACTTGAAACTCTGTTGCTCGAATCCTCCGTCCGTCCATCCAAGGTCCGGTCAGTGGAGTGCTCAAGACAAGAAGAAGCAGGGTGCTGCTTGAGTGCGACACCGAGTGATCGGGAAGCTTTGTTCGTGCTACACATCCCAGATGGTGTGACAGACATTCCTCAGTACGCCTTCAATTTCTGCACACTTGTCGGACAGGTGTCCATTTCCAACTCTGTCACCCAGATTGGATACAGTGCCTTTTCTGGGTGCACTTCACTAACAAGCCTGACAATTCCGGACTCCGTGACTTCGATTGGAAGCATGGCCTTTGCAGGCTGCAGGTCTCTCAAAAGCCTGACAATTTCGAAGTCTCTAACTGAGATTGGATATCGGGCCTTTGGTGGCTGCACCTCACTGACAAGCCTGACAGTTCCGGACTCTGTGACAATTATTGAAGACCAGGCCTTTGCTGGCTGCAGCTCCCTGACAAGCCTGACAATTCTCAGCTCCGTTATTTCCATTAGAGGCATGGCTTTTGCAGGCTGCAGCTCACTCACAAGCTTGACGATTCCAGACTCTGTGACTGAGATTGGAGATCGGGCGTTTGACGGCTGCAGTTCCCTAGCAAGCTTGACTTTTCCAGACTCCGTGACTTCTATTGGAGGCATGGCCTTTGCAGGCTGCAGGTCTCTCAAAAGCCTGAGAATTTCGGACTCTGTAACTGAGATTGGATATCAGGCCTTTGGTGGCTGCACCTCGCTGACAAGCCTTACACTTCCCGACTCCATCACTTATATTGAAGTGGAGGCCTTTGCTGGTTGTAGCTCCCTGACAAGCCTGTTAATTCCTCACTCTGTTGCTTTTGTGGGGTCAAAGGCCTTTTCTGGCTGCAAGTTGTTGACAAGCCTCACAATTCCAGACTCTGTGACTGCTATTGGAGGCATGGCTTTTGCAGGTTGCAGTTCACTGACAAGACTGACAATTTCGGACTCTGTAACCGAGATCGGATGTCGGGCCTTTGAGGGCTGCAGCTCACTGACAAGCCTTACACTTCCCGACTCCATAACTTCTATTGAAGTCGAGGCCTTTGCTGGTTGCAGCTCCCTAACAAGCCTGACAATTCCACACTCTGTATCTTTATTGGGATTGAAGGCCTTTGCTGGCTGCAAGTTGCTGACAAGCCTCACAATTCCAAATTCCGTGACTGCTATTGGCGGCATGGCTTTTGCAGGTTGCAATTCACTGACAAGACTGACAATTTCGGACTCTGTAACTGAGATCGGATGTCAGGCTTTTGAGGGCTGCAGCTCACTGACAAGCCTGACAATCTCAGACTCCATAACTTCTATTGAAGTTGAGGCCTTCGCTGGCTGCAGCTCCCTGACAAGCCTGACAATCCCCCACTCTGTTGCCCTTTTGGGGGCAAGGGGCTTTGCTGGCTGCACTTCACTGACAAGTCTGACAATTCCACATGGTGTGACTTCTATTGGAGGTATGGCCTTTGCAGGCTGCAGGGCACTGACAAGACTGAACATTCCGGATTCTGTGTCCTCTATCGAAGTCAGGGCCTTTGCTGGCTGCCGCTTTTTGACAAGCCTGGCAATTCCACACTCCGTTGTGTTTCTCGGGGATGCGGCGTTTGCATGCTGCACGTCACTGACAGTCGTGACAATTTCGAAGTCTCTAACCGAGATTGGATATCAAGCATTTGAAGGCTGCAGCTCACTGACAAGCCTGACACTTCCGGGTTCTGTGACTTCTATTGGAGCCATGGCTTTTGCAGGTTGTAGCTCACTGACAAGCCTGACAATTCCCGGTTCCGTGACTTCTATTGGAGCCATGGCTTTTGCAGGCTGTAGCTCACTGACAAGCCTTACACTTCCCGACTCCATAACTTCTATTGAAGCCGAGGCCTTTGCTGGCTGCAGCTCCTTGGCATGCCTGACAATTCCGGACTCGGTGACTCTGATTGGAGATCGGGCCTTTGATGGCTGCAGTGCGTTGACAAGCCTGACCATCCCGGACTCCATGACTTTAACTCGAGAACGGGCTTTTGGTAGCTTGCCACATTTGGCTTTGTAGGAGACAAATGTGCAGAGTTGTGGGCAGTGGTGTTGCTTCTGCAGAACAAGAATGGGATTGAAAGAGATTCCTTTGTGAAGATGCTTGCAACACCAAATTGTCGTTAGTTCCTTCCTTCGTCAAACTTTAGTGCTGACAATGAGATGACCTTATAACCAACCACCCACCTACATCCTGCTGGTTGGTTTCTAGTTCATGCCTTCGCCCTGGTAACCTGGTCGCCCACTTGTGTAACCCAACTCCCAGTACTTGTGTAAACGTGACCTCGCCAGGTGGGGCAACGAAAGTACCAATGAGTCTGAGAAGGCGGGGACGTCGCTGCGGCCACTTGCGGTCGGTAAACCGACTGCGGTCCGTGATCAAACTGGGTTGTTTCACGTTTCACGTCACGAAGAAAGACATCATGCTTCCAATCTGCTTGCTGTAGCCAGACTTGGGGCCATGATACTAGACCTTGAATGAACACACTTACCTCACATGGAAGGCCTGCCATGGTTGCACCCTTCCAAGCACCCAAGAAGGACGACTTACTAGGTGATCCAAAAAAGGGGGTTGAAACAGGTCGCCAGACATGGCAGCAAGTTGTTTTGCGAAACTGCTCTGCCTGATGAACGTGCGCGGCACCAGGAGCTTTGGAGTTGGGCGGGCCTCGATTTTGGACACGAGGCGGGGACTTCGGAGCAACCTGGTCACTGCACACGGTCAAGCTACGGTCTTTGAGGGTCTTGCTTCAGGCAAGAGACTTACTGTAGACTGGCTGAGAGTCTGAGTGATCCCTGGTGTTACACGAAGCACTCGGCTGCATGCCTTAATGCCACAGGTTTTCTTCTTTGTTGTTGCCACATGCTTTAAGATAAAGGGCGACGCATGTTTGGATTTATCATGTCCAAATTGAAAAGCCCCCATTAACATTCTTCAGTTGGCCAAAGAGCTCTCCAGATCGGAGTCTCGTGCATGCATTAATCTTGTGTGCACATATATATATATATATATAACGCTACTAGTTGCGTCCTTTACTCCTAGTAGCGATGCCCTTGTTACTAGTAGCGATGCCAGGAGCTACTAGAGTATCCTTTTTCATTCAGAAATGTTTTATTTTTTCATGGTGTGCAGATTGGTCATTTTCTCAATGGCTTGGCTCCACATAAAGAAGTTTGCGGAATCAACATTTGTTGAGTTGTGTCTTTGCTGGCAATCGGCAGAAAAGCACGATGCACTGGACTTCTGGTGGGTCAGCTTTGGAGTTGCACAAATACCGAGAATGTATATATACAGGAGCTGCCCTTATGAATCATCAATAGGGGAGAGTCATCCTTTGATTAATAGGCAGTTGAATGAACAAAAGAGTCATTCCCAGTAGGAGATCCATGACCAGCCTGGCCGAGCAAAAGTTGACCATGGCTCATATGCAAAGGATTGCAAAGCTTTGTAACTGGTGGAACCTTTCAGGGTGACGGCAGTGGCCTTGATCTGAACTGCGGGTACGAAGCGAGTTCATCCAATCATTGAAGCGAGGTCCTCATAGGGAAAATCTCTCACCCGTGAGAACGCAACATAGTGTTCCTACTTCTATTTTCCCGGATTCCCTTTTTTTTGGGGGTCTTCTATCCAGTGATCATCTCTGGTGAAGACCGTGAAGACCTTTCATCCCCGATCCTCGGCTCCATCGCATGGCCCAGCATGGCCCCGGAAGTCCAGGCCCTGCAGATCAAAGAAGTCCAGGAAGGTCAAATGCTGAAGCAGGACGGCCTTCCGGGCGGCTGGCACATTTGATGCAGCCGAGCGCAATCCAAATTAGGCGCTCATTAGCACGCCCAATGAAGCTAGGGGCCTGAGGAAGGCGCTGGATTCGTTCAAAACTACCTGAAGCGCGTAAGAACTCAACTACACCGTGCTTGCAGTTGAGGGTTGATCTCATTTCTGTGCTTGTTTGATCTTGTTTGCTTGTGCATCAAGATCTGCCGTGGACATTTGTGGACGAATGAAGTGCCTCAAGGAGGGGAACAAAGAAGTCTGGACATCTCGCAGTGGGTGTGTATTTTTATAGGGAGACCTCGGTCTATTTTCCTTCTTCCAGCGGTTCGAGTGTTGGTCAAACGACTCTTGTTTCTGGACCTCCACGAAGGGGGCACTGCAGCGCGCACTTTGGGCGCACCGAAGTGAGCGTTTGAGCGAAATCGAAGATTGCGCTGGGCATTGAGGAGATCAAGTACTCTGATCCAGTGCTGCTTGGCCATGTTCGACTTCAGTGGCACTGCAAGACTGTTAGACGAATGCTTAGAGGTTCGGACCCCTCTGGAGATCTTTGCAGTTGGCCGCTAGTCATCATGCATCAGGGCTGCATTTCTGAGAGTGAACGACTTGCCAAACACTTTTTCCACATTTGTTTGTTCTCAACCTGGCTGATCTTGCCATCTTGCATGCCAAATCCTAGACGTCTACTAGACTTGGGACGCGAATGAATGACTTTATACATGACCTCCATTTGGTGACTGCCAACCTCGATCTTTGAGGCCTGAAGAGGCCATTGTTTACGTGCGATCAGAGGATGCCTGCCATTTCGCCTGGCACCTGGTCGACAGAAGATTGACCTCGGAGAAGAGCGGACAGAAATCAGGATTGAAAAGTAGAGGAGTTCTGTTTGACCTGAGAGGCTGTTTATGCCACAAGAAGAATCTTCTTGAGAACATTCTCCACCAAACATCCACGCATCCTGTGTCCGACGTCAGCGACTGTCTCGGAGCGGTTTTCAATGCAGCGTAGGGACCAGTAGCTGGCAGGTTCGGGTTATAGACCATGTAGGCTGTAGGAGCCAAGAGCACATCAGAGGACTGACAGGAAAACCCGGGCATTTTGGTGCGACTGCGATCTCATGTCCTTTTGGACTGGAGGCACCCTCGGGGGGGGTTCGTGCTTTACCAGGCCTTGGGGGCCTTGGGGGTCGACATTCCAAGTCCGGCGATGCCTTGTTCTGTGTGGCGTGGATTGGTCCTGCGTGGTGGTTAGATTCCTCCCAAGGTCCTGGTCTTGTTTGAGACAACTTTCCAGATGAACCACAGGGTGAGAGTGGTGCATCCAAAGTAACTTGCAAGAGTGTTTATACACGTCCTGGTCGTTGTTTGTTTCAAGCACGGGCCGAGAAACAAACTTGCTCTCAGCTGCCGCTGTAGCCATCCAAAGCCTTCTTCTTAGTGAAACTTCAAAGGGCCAATTGCTTGAGATGCGATCCAACCCTGTCCTGTCATTATTATTTCATGATTCTTTCAACACCGTCCTCACCTGTGAGGGCCAATTGCTTGTCTAAGATCTGGTTTTGGCGGTCGAACATCCCATTTTCGTTGTAGCTGGAGGGTCCGAGCGACCACACCGAGCACCGCAGCTGCGGTTTTTTGTGTTTTAGCGTGTTTGGGGGGGGCCGACACGCCGGTTTTGGGCCAGGGCGGTGCCACGCGTTGAAAAGCCTGGGATGATGCTTTGAATCCATTTGAACCTATTTGAATCCTAGCTTTTTCTGGTTGGCATGAAGCAACGATAGGATTGTTCAACTCCAGTAATCTATACACCAGATGATGCTTTGTAGCTGGACGGTCTTACTTACAGCATAAGTAGTGGAAGTTTGCCTCGAAACCTCAGAGCAGCGTTTAGCAGAACCATCACAGCAGAACCATCACATTGCAAACCTCTAGTATAGATTAGTATAGTAATTATAATCATTCTATTTTTTTGCTTTTTTAGGACAACAATTCTTTGCTGGGGTTTACTTGCTACATTCTGCCAGACGGAGGCTTTATCACACCGCATCTCAGCATCTCATGGAATTTCTTCTTCCAAATGATCATGGGCCGAGCCAAGAGTTGTTTCCATGTCACTCTCAGGTGGCCAGGTCTTTGGTTTGATCCGTTTTCTCCCTGTTGCAGGAAGGTGGCTCTGCTCCATCGAAGCCTTGGGCCAGCTTCACCTGGAGGACGTCAGAAATGAAGATATGGAGACGTAGACGTAGCGATGCCCTTTGCTCCTAGTAGCTTATTGTTACCAGCGATGGCCTCCACCTAATAGCGTCCTTGCTACTAGTAGCTTCTTGCTCTGCCATGAATGGCCTTCGAATTTCTCCAGGAACATAGAGGTTTGTCAACATCGAACTACCTATTAAAGCACACATACAATTTGAAATAATTTGAGGCAAAGAACACGGGAACACGGCGGGAACTCTGCAACTTCCAGACTCTCCTCATGATCGCAACGAGAAACCAAACCTCTTGATCGCTTCCAGCGATTCTGTGATGAGCAGGTGGGCAGGCGTTTTTGCATTTGCGTACAGTATGTTGCCTTGCATGTCGACACTTCTATTCCAACACCTAGCTATTTCTGCTACCTCTCTTTCTTCGTGTGATCCGCTTGGTCACGCGACCAGTCGAGGAGGGAAGCCCCGTGGCGAGACCAAGTGGAGGCCTTTTGCGCCTGGTGTGAACGACAGGCCGACCGTGGGCCGCGTGCGATTGTGTTGAGGCAGATGGAGGAAAGGAGTCAAATGTTTGGTTCTGTATGCATGTTCTTACCTGGTTGACAGGTTTTTGTCCAGGGTAACCAGTGAGGTGCCCTGCCAACATTCCAGTGTAAAGTCCACAATGCGAACATCGTGCGCTCCAGACACTGTGAAATCTAGAGTGGAATTGAATATGCATGAATATGCATCAATAAACAAAGACTTGTCACCCCTGTTGTTTCTTCTTTGGCATCAGCAGCACCAGCATCCTGGCTAGGTCCTCTCGCCTGCGGCCGTCTTTGACGCGACGCGTGCGGCGGCTTTGGATGGTTGGGGTACCAAGCATTCCACGAAGCAGTGGGGTTCTAACCCCTGCGGGCAGAAGAACACTTTGGGAGATCAACGTAGGTCAACAGCCCCACATTGACATTGACATGTCTTGATAGCGTCATAGCATCACGCACGTGGTTTTGTCCAAGCTGTCCCAGAGCGCCACGGGCCTGCCGCGTCGATCCGGTGACGTCGTGTGCACGTCGATGATCCAGTGCGAATGGAAGCGAATCCAGCGAATGGAACGCGTGTGATGATTTCTTGTTGGTGAACATTTACTGTCGACTGCTGGGTCCATTTTGTGTGTAACATTTAGTTAGTCGCCTTTTCAGGTCTAGGAGGTGATTTAGTTGTGAGGTTTTGACACATTTGGAGGAGCCAGAGCCCGAGCCACCCTAGCCCAAGGTACCTTTGATTGGCTGTTGCTGCTCTTTGCTCCAAAGTCCTTGGAGGTGCCACTTTGAGACCAAAATCAACTGCCCTCTTTATTGTTGGGTTGCGCACTTCACCGTGAGTGGTTGTGCACTTCACTCGCAACTTTTTGCGTCAAAGTGAAGTGCCAACAGAGTTTAGTAGCACCCTGTAGACTCTACACTGTAGACTATCCCATAGGTACCCTAGTCCTAGTCGGTTCCTATAAGCTTTCTTGAACTCTTTTAGTAAGAGCTTTTTGTTCTGCTTTTTGTCCACTCAGCAAAGCCCCCCGTTTGTGGGGAGGACGAACACATCGCGTACGATCCGCTGACCGGGGGTTTGTGTGTCGTGACAAAAGCTAGCAGCTAGGAAGCGGTCGCATTTGAGGACCGATTTCCAAGTCAAGATCCACGAAAGACTAGAATTCGCTCTGAGGATGTGACCAACCACTTTTGCAAATCCACCCACTGCTCGACGGCCTTTAGCTGCACAAAGCTCATGAACCCAGCATGTTGCAAGTCTTCAGCATGGGCGCACGTCAGTTGGAACTTCAAGATACAGTATCACGATTGAGCAGAACGAATTATGTCAACTGGCACTACCCGCTACCCGAAGTAATTTTCCCTTTCGACCAATTCCTCCATGATGCGGGCTGTGCTGGTCCTGGTAGCATTGGTGGCTGCCTTTGGTCAGTTGCCAGAGGAGCGACGGTTGCGTCAGATGCTTGGTGGGACAGATTCTTAATGCATTTTTTTCAAGTCCGCTCTGCCCTCCAACCTAATAGCGAGCAGAGAGGGGGCGATTCTGATTTACCTTTGCCCATGAACAGTTCGTTTGGGAACGTCTTCTTCGTCTCATCAAAGGGAACCGGAAGGCGCATGAATGCGGCACCCTCGCTGCTGACACTGTGGGGTCTCACTAGCAGACCGAGTGAGTTGGACATGAAGCCAACTTGTGAGGAAGTGATAGGGAGGAAAAGGATCAAACCAATCCAGAAAGTCGATGAAACTCTGCCAGAGTGAAGGACTAGGGCAGAAAGACAAAATCCACTTGACTCTCTGAAGGGTATTCAGTCTTCTCATGTCTAGGAGTTTCTTGCAGGTCCATTGCGACTGCCAACTGGTTTTGGGGACTCTTTAGAGCCAGAAGATCCATTGAAGGAATGGGCACATGTGCGAAGCCATGGGCACCTGTGAGAGACTGCCTCGAACATTTCACAGCCTTACTATAGCTAATCAGGAGCCCTTAACAAGGAGAATGATCATGGCCTTCCACTGTTTTCCTATTTCTCAGTGTGGATGGTCAACCAATCGGATCAGCAGATTCCAACTGACGCACCAGTTCCCTTCCGACCGACCTTAGGACCGACCATGTGGCAGCTGGGCATGAAGTGAAGAGCAATGAGACGGAGCCAGAGACAGAGCGGGCTGTTAAAACAGAGCGGACTGATGGCACGGATGAAGCTCATCCGGATGGAGTGACCAGAGTCCACGAGTTTGAGCAGGACACTTGGACATCAATGTGAGAGGGACCAAATAGGGGCCATGTTCGAGGCTGTTCTCCATCTCACACACACAAACACACTTGCGCAATCGAGCGCGCCCTCGGCGGTCAGACCTGCAGAGGATAGGCTCTTCTCCATCAAAAGCCCCATAAAAAAGAGACGACGTGCGGAGCTGAAGGATGGATCCAACAGCCCAAAGTCCAGCTGTGAGAATCCATAGAGTTGCCTTGAAGTTTTGATCCAACACGTCATGTCTTCTTGAGAGCCTGTGGATATGATCCTGCGACCTTCGAACGTGCCTTGCTTTGAGCGCTGTTTCTCTGACAGACTGCGACAAGAAGGTAAATGCACGATTCTACAGTGGCTGTTGAGTAGTTTGCAACGGACAGCTTTGCCCCAAGGCCTTGCTATTTGGAATTCTTCTCAATGCTAAAGCCTTTCGGGCGAAATGATTCCTCGCACATACCAGAACATATCCCTCTGCCTTCGTCTCCACAGCCGCGACTGAGGAGCGAATGGTGCGGGATGAGGCAGAGAACAGGGAAGTATGACATGTGCTGTCGAAGGTCTTCCCGAGTCTTCACAGTTCTAGGGGCTGGAAGGGGGATTTATATGGGGTAGGTCAGGGACATGTGCGTTCTACACCATGAAGGGCGTATAAGCACTACTCAGAATGCGGACTGGCGGCCATGGTGGCATGGCCATTTACAGGGAGATCAAAGGATATATATATATATATATGTATAACTATAACTATATATATAACGTACAATCTTCGGCTCATTTCTATCAGGTTGAAAGAGATCCATGATGATCCACCATTTCAACTCTATAGACTCGACATTGTGCTTCTTGAATGGTAGACTCTTGGAGGCACCCTTTTCTTTATGCTTTTGTTGAAATCTTACACCTTGAACGGGCCGATCTTTCATCATGAGTCATGTGTGTTTGGAGACAAGTATTCTGTCTTCTAACCTGGCACAGGAAGGAGCACTGCTGAAAGTACCCAACACGGTAGCTGGACACTTGGCCTGGTTTGGGTGGCTCTTTCTGGGGCTTTGGGAGCGACGGTTCTGGAGGGGTGGTGGGTCGATGGCAGGAGTCATGCTAAGCCTACTTCTCGAAAATGCAGCCCGTATTCCCCCAGTCGTAAGAGGACTCACACCTCAGGGTTGGAACGCCTCTTGTGTGCAGGCTTATTTTCGTATCAAGTTTGGTTGACCTTGCAAGCTCAGGTGCTTGTATCCTTTTCACTGCCCTGGCCTACATTTGGTTTGTTTGTGGCTTTGCCGGCCTCTTCACTGTCAAAGATGGATACCTGAATCTGGGCGCTGCTTGGTCCAAAAAGACATATCGGAAGCAGAGTGACCAAAAGCACTCGGGTCCCAACACTTGAGCTCACTTGGTGATTGGGATTTGAGGTATGCTGAGGTATGGATGGCCTTTTACTATTGGTTGGTTGATTAGAGGGGAAACTCCCAAGTGGGTTTGTATTTTTTGGCGTGTACTTCCTGATGTAGTGGTTGGAAGTTCGACTTGAGCGATTCATACCCTCGAATCATACCTCGAAACATACCCTCGAATCATACCCCCGAATCATACCCCTCAAAAAAGGTACACGTAAGAACCAGGTGTTAAGGTGAAATTTTTGGTTGGTCTTTGTGCCTTGTAGATGTCCATGAGCCAATGGTGCATGACGTTTGCAATTGTGTGATCCATGGGCACTCAATTTGGCCAAAATTGTTTGTCTTCTTGTGGGAAGAGCGAAGGCTCACATCCCAGGGGTACTCCTAATGTTCCCATGTGCTCTCCCTTCAAAAAAGAGCCAAAGGACCGCCTTCTTTTGCAGAATCTATGACCATACGAATCACACCCAATTCATGCCCGATTCATACCCGAATCGCGCACCTCCACACAGTTTCCCACCCATCTCACACCCTGGTTGTTTTGGTGGGGCCTGCAGAAAGCCACTACTGGAGTCTTTGGTGGAAGAGTGCGATTGCCTAGTCTGCCCAGCATTCAATAGATGCTGTTTGTTTACTGCCTCGGCGCAGGGTGGGCCCCCTGCTGGAATTCCAACTAATCCAACAATACAACTCCAAAGCTGCGAACCATCTGCGAATCATACCCTCGAATCATACCCCCGAATCATACCCCGAATCATACCTTCGAATCATACCACCTATTCAAACTTCCCGGCCTTTGTTTTTGGTACCAAAAGTATGTTGAGGGTTCACAAAGTCCTTTGGAGCTGCTGGATGTCCTCAGTCGTTTTGTCTCGCATCCTTTAGTTTCACTGTTCGACTGCACAGCTGTTGTTGCCGTCGTCATGAAAACCCGTCTTGACATGAGGCGAGCAAGCCCTTGTGCCTTTGGCAGAGTTCAGCGGTTGCATGTTTTTAAACACATTGACAGGTGGAATGTTCTTCAACAACTTCCATACGTTATTGTCTTGAAAACAACGTCTACTGGAAAGTGACCTTCGAACGTGAGCGCCAGACCTCGCCAATTGCTTCGAAGTTCCACAGGTTTTTTGTTCGATGCTACGAGATGGGCGCACATTGAATGCTACGCTGTTGCCATTGGAAAGAAACCCCCAAACGACTGGATGGTAGACGAAATATGAACCATGATTCGTGACAGAGGTTCCTCTTGAGGGTGATGTTGGACGGTTGCAGAGCCAGGTGTAGCCTGCCTTGTTTCTTGTTCGTTCGAGTCAGCGGAAGGGACATCGAACGCATCCCCAGCTAGTGGCTGTGGACAACTTCCACGCAAAAGTTAGAAATTGCTTGAGTGAAGACATCAGTTTGACCATCTGTCCCTTTTGCCTCAGTGAAGTTTTGAGAGTTAAAAGGCTGCCCTGGTACTACTGGCTTGCTGCCTTCCTCTATTGGGTGGCCATGCCCCTGTCTATGCTCTACATCTCAGCGAACGCGGACTGTCAAGGCAGGGAATGTGAGCCAAACGGGCGGTGATTTGTAGGTGAAATAGCACTCTATCCAGCAAACATGGTTTGGTGGAGGGCATGTCCCTGAAAAAGAAGAAAAGGACCTCTATATTGATAAGACGACTTTCCACATTCTGAACTCACTGGGTGATTTTAAAGGCATAGAGCAAACGAGTCAAATTGCGCAGGGGAAGGAGTACATTGCTTGCATCTTATGTCAGCTCGGAGAAACTCGAAGCCTGCGGTTTCCGAAGAAGTCCAGTCTCTTCCGACAGTTGCTACGTCTTATTGAGGGCGCGTGACGCCCTCCGAGTTGCTTGTTGAAGGCCTTCCTTTAAGGCACTTCCTTTTTTTTGCCCTTTGAGTGATAGCTTGGGGTTGTACGCTCCATGGCCAGTCTCGGTGGCGTCCCCGGTGGTTTAGCTAGTTTGGCGGAACATCAGATCAGCAACTCTCCATGACCTTTGGGCTACTGTAAGGAACTTGCTAAGGCCTCTGGCCTGACAGTCTCTTTGGTCTGACGAATGGTCTGAGCCCGCACACCCCCTTTTTGAGACTCTTACTGCGAGAAGTGACTTCTGCCGACTGAAGCCGTTTCGTGCCTCAGATCGCTGGACGTCCGAGTCCTGAACGGTGCAGGCGGACCACCGGACGTTGGGTATCTCGTCTTTGGCGTCTTTCTCACAGTGCCTTGGTTGAAGCAAGTGAATTTGAATCTGATTCTTGCCGACACCCAAGAACTCGTCATGCTGCTCTTGGATGGTTCTTCTAGAGGTATATTTGAGTATATTGGACCAAACCACTATAATTGATTTCTCTTGGCGAACCAAACCAGCAGAAAACATCACAACCCGTTTGGGGCGAACCGTCCTTCGCCGATGCGGCATGACGAGGCATCTGGTATCGCTGCAAAATAGGTTACACCCCAAACCCAAAGAGAAAGAACTTGCGCCTTGGGTGAAATTTCTCAGACCAAGGCAATCAGCCGTGAATGTTGGACGTGGTTTTGAGCGTCATCCCTTGGAAAAGTGTTTCCAGCCATCCATCACCATCCCGTCGCTTTCATGGGTCCATCACCATCGCAGGTGCACATCATCCTGGTGATTGTTGCCATGTGTCAACATCCGACCCCGCCCGGCGCGTGCGACTGCAGCAAGGCGCACGGCGGGTTTCGGCGCGTGCGCAAAGCGCGCACGGGGTAAGGCACCGACAGCGACTGGTGGGAGGAGGCACATGGCGAGTCCACCTGTGTTTTGTTGTTCTATGAGCATAGCAGGGACCAAGACGGCTATCTAAGAGAGGGTTGCATCTTTCAAGTAAGTGGTTCCTGGAGCTCACTCTGCTCACCGGTCCAGGGGTTCTTTTTGAGCGGCCCTCTGCTGATTTTCTTCATGATCCTGGACCACATGGACATGGCGACAGATGCGATGTTTGTGGGCACAGCGGCTGCCTGCTCCCCCATGATTGAGAACGCCTATGTGCAGCCTGGTTTTGATGAGACAGCCTTGGCACAGTTGGAACCCCTTGTAGGAATTCCGCCCCAACTTTGGTCGTCATATTGCAGACATGACCAGCTTCCCTGGTGTCCATGTCCTGATGTTCATGCTGATGTTCATGCCTTTGTCCAATGACCAGGTTCCGGCACTGATTTCCGGCAGTGGTTGTCGATTGCAAAAGCAACATGACTGAATTGTACACAGGCAGATCACTCAGTTGTCCAAGGCAATCTTGGGCAGCAATTCCTGTGATTGGGGCTGAGTTGAAGTTCACCATCGAAGATACTCGGCAGGTCACATCTTCTTTGTGTGGAGGTCAGCAGAACCAGATCCCACCAAGTCAAGGGCAGCTAGGGGCCCTTCCACTTGGTGCAGGAGCTTGCTTTTGATCTGCTGTTAAGCATGCTCGCCCGTGCTTACATACAGAGGAATATGTATGTAGAAGAGAACTTTTCGAGCGGACTCCTTTTGTGTTTGTTCCCACTTCACTTTAGCCACACCCAACCGACTGAGACAAAACCCCGAACAAATTGTGGACAGTGGACATGTCTTTTTGTGCTCCTAAGGTCGTAAAGCATATTGTTCTCATGGTGCTGAATGGCAATGGTATGTTAATACATGTTCATAACTACACACAACTACACTAGAAGTCCAGTCTTGATTCGTTTATCAGAAGTTCCTTGGAATTCTTTCGTAGGGTTAGACTTGTTTCTGCACTGCTGGATGCTTTCAGAATTGGGCAGCTTACCAGTGTAGCAAGAAACGGTTCGTTCCGCCACCGCCGAACGAAGCGCCACGGCGTTAAACGAGGCTTTGTCCTTCACCGGATTGGCCCTCTTTGCATTTGTGGTGATGGCCTACCTACCACAGCTGGTAGGAGAAGGGCGGGCTCAAGAAGCAGGGGGGCCGCAATTTCAAGCAAACACTTATGACGACATATGTGATTGTAGCTGCATTTCACTTGAACATCTCAATCTCAAGATCACTACATTTTATAATATATATATATACATACAGTTGGAGATTGATTGCTTGCTACTCACGAAGTCTGTGCGCTATGGCCATCCAATTGATTTGGAATGAAGAACAGTCTTTGGCCATCCACTTTGTTTTTCATGAAGGACTGACTCCTTTCTTCGCGCTTTGCTCCACCTTGGTGTGCTCTTCGCTCATGCTATTAACGTTGCATCAAAGCTGGATTTGGGGCCTCTTGTCAGCCTTTGGCACGTGGTTTTTCAGCACTGTCTTCTGTTTGCACCATAAACTACATTTTGATAGCAGTGGATGTATCGCGCTTGGATAGGGTACACTATGGCACACTGGGTTCTCTGATTCAACGCGTTTTCTCTGCTTCTCCAACTGTTTGATTGTGTCTAAGTAGGCCGCAGGCCTGGTGGCGCAATCGGACAAATATGATCAAATATGTACTGTCAGTTGTCAAGCAAAACAGGGACGTGTGTTAATTGCGACGGAAATCAATGTAATTGCAAGTATTATTGTTTATTTATTGTTTTTTGTGAGCAGTGTTAATTGTGACAGTTGTGTTTTCGCGACGGCCACTCACCTTTTTTGCGACTGCAGTGTCTCTTGCGCGAGTAGTAGCTGCTTTCTTTTGCAATCCGCGCGCGTTTTTTGCGACAGTAAGCTGTCTTCTTTGCGACGCTATAGTCCGCGTTTTTTGCAACGTAATCTGTGTTATTTGCGACGCTGCAGTTCGCATTAAGCTGCGCTATATACATATGGTTCCTCGCTGGCTGGGGTGCGGCAAACAAAGTATAGACAGCATTGCGACAGCACAAACAAAGTACAGACAGTATTGTAAGAGGTGGTTTCTTCGTTGGTTGGTTGCTTGATTGCTTGCTTGGCTGCCGTTGGCGCGCTGCCCTCGCCAGCTGGTTCCTCGGTTGGTTGGTTGTTTGGCTGCTTGGCGTGCTGCCTTGACCACACAAAATAAACAAGCGGGAGGGGGTGCCTCCCCCGCAATGCAAACGCAGTACTGTAATTAAGATCGATCAACACTCTTTTTGCCACAAAATCACCCTTCAATTAACACCGTTGCTGTCGCAAGAAACACCACCACACCACTGCCACAAAAAAACACGCTCCCACACAACCGTTTCAAAAAACACTCCCTACACCTTGCCCTCGTAGCACCAGCAGTCAACCTGGGCGTTGGAATAACACAGTTCTGCGCATCGCACATGGGAAACATTCCGAGACCAATTGACCCATCACATTCGGCTCGCTTTTTGGGTGTGAGAGGCGGATGACACAGTTGGGCTACACCTAGTGATAGCCCCAAATGAGCTTTCAGAGAGACACGGAGACACCTGGACGAAACATCCCTTGGAACCACCACGATGGCGCCATGCGGCTTGCCATGGGGCGTAAGCCCGGCTTGAGGCGTTGTTGTCACCGCTCTGATTTGCATTGCCTTGGGGCTGGGAGGTGTTTTTCGAAAACAATGGCAAGTGTGGAAGGATGCCAACGCGAGCCTCGGAGAAGGGTTTTTCATTCGGGGAAGGATGCCAACGCTGTTCCAAAAAACGTGGTTGATCGACGGATTCTTTTATCCAGATTGCTCATACTTGTATGAACTATTATGAACATATATATATATATATTGTGTATTACACACACTGGCGCGGGCCCCAACTTCTTCTCC